AGCGTAGCACCCCGCGTTAGCGGTTGTAGGCGGTGCAAGCGTAGCGCAGCACCCCGCGGTCACGGAGGGGATAGGTGAGAATAGCAGATCCCGCTCAGGATCGTGGATACATGATGCGACATGACAGTAGATGTCCTTATCGAACTGGTAATCTTCGTCGCCAGAAGTGTCCTCTTGGTAGTCGTAGATCTCGTCGATGGTATCATCCACAACACTATCCAACATATTAGGTGCCGCCCTAGTTCCAAATCCAACACGTGACCATAGGACCGTGAAAGGTCCAATACAGGTATACCCCACATAGGGTACGTCTGCACGGCTAGATTGCATTCTACAGAATGCTTTACTCAAATCACCGGCAACGAAGTACTTAGATGACCTCAATAAGAGTAGAGTACCATGTAGACTATTCTGTGGATAACCGCCTCTTAGAGAGTATAGATTTGCCTCTCTATAGTCTAAGACTATACGGCAAGGCGTAGTTGGATGTTGGTCTCGGTAGACTAGATGACTAGCTGTGAAGTGCTCTGGCAGAGGGGCAAGTGACCCTTGATAAGGGGTGCCCTTACTCAGCTTCTCCCAGACAGATTGGCACGTAGATGCTTCTGGCTTAGATGGGTCGGGGCGATTATCCTTGACGATAGCACAGAAACCCTTGGATATGTAACCATCGAGTGCCCGATGGAACATTTCCATCCGCTCACCCGTGATGGCCTTAATAGATGCCAATCCTCGTTTCCTAGCCATATGATAGTTATATCGCGGCCTAGATGTCGGACTTCTCCACGGCACTTGAGGTCTAGCTCGTCCTAGAGGGGCCGCGCTATCTGCAACCCATTCTCGGTTGATGGCTTGCTGAGGTGGTAGGTCGTCCCTATTGATGGTAGGTAGACTTTCGCCAGAGCTCACGGCCTCTTCGGATACACATAGAGAGTCGTCGAGGTTACCGTCGTCGATTTGGGGGTAGATACCACACTCAGAGTTCAGCGATTTATATGCCTTGAGCGTATCGATCAAATCGTAAGACTGGCTTAGATTTCGGGTCCCTTTGCCGGAGAGCGACAGTAGATCTTCGTCTCTCGA